GAGCATTAAGTAGGCGATTAGATGTGAGACACAGGCTTGAGGCACATGTGATCACGAATGTGATCGATCGCTTTTCAGCACATCAGTTCAGTAGGTTTTGTCCACTGACGGCATCTATTTCTGTCGCATAAAACAAAACCAAATTGCATGTATAATTCCTGGTAAGACGAATAAAAGCAAAAGACAAATATTTAGGCACACATGACCGGTGCACTGCTTTGCATGGAACCATACGGCTAACGGCTGAAACCATCAGTTGATCAATATTAGCAATTGTAATTTCATGAGAAGCTGGCACCTTATCAGCAGATACCATTCTCATTTCCCGGGCTATGGTTGTTTTACCGATTACTATTGGAACGATAAAAAATTCACAAAATGTTAATCCAATTGCCGCTCTTCACCGCTCTCTTCAACCAATTACTACTTGTCATTTCGAAAATGATTCAGGTGTTCAACTGAAAGTGTCATAATGACTGCAAATCCTTTTAGTAAGCAGAATTCACTTCATGAAGATTTGCCTAATATGCTACCGGGAAGCTTACGGCACAATTCATGTGACGAATATAAGTGAATAAGTTGATTGATTGCGATCACGAACCGGAAAAAATAGGATGAGAATGAGCTCAATGATCTTGTTCGTATCCTCTTCGCCCATTGCAAATTCTGAAAAGAACAAGCGTTGCTTGCNAAACATTCAAACATCCGAATCGATCCCCTATATCAACTGCAATACATTCAAACGTTCGATTGGAACTCATCGGATTGTGTCCAGAGAGAAGTCGTCACACTGACCTTTTAGGGGGTGGCTTTATTGAGACGACGGAACAACCCTTTACTCGCTAGTATCGAGACAAGAAGTACAAAGACAATGAAATCTTTCACTTATATAGAGTTTTTTTATATGAGAAGACAACTCATATTAAAATTTTTTTTAGATTCCTAACAATAAGAAGATAACTCATTTACATGTAAGCAGATCACGTATGCAAATTGGATCACTATACAACAATGACTCATCGCAAACTCATAGTCAGCTGAGGCGTGAAATTTATACGACACATGAGCTGATAACGTTATAGTTTGCAGCGAGAAATTCAAACGCACATGAAATCCCATCCATCTAAAGTGAAGCGGTAAACGATCAAAATATCGAGGAAATGCTGCAGGATTGGAAGAAGCGATCAGACTGTAACGATGCGTTGATCAGTGTGCAAGGGTGGGAGTTGAACGAATCATAACATGAATAAGCATAATGTGTGTAAGTGTTGTATGGACAGGAAATTTTACAAGGAATGTTTGTCAAAGGGATATTGAATGAAGGTGTATGTATGCATATTTCATGAAAACGATTAATCACCATTTTTGGTGCTGACGTATCTCGATTGATCTGCTCAATTGATTCTATTCTAAGTTATTTTTGCGCTTACATGAGATTGTCATCGCCATCGTCAGCATGCACCCCTTCTGTACGCACTCTATTACTATTGCTAAGCACTTTGCTGATTAACTTTGATATAATAAGCGACGATCCGATTTCTTGAGTCGCTTCAAAGTGTAGTGTTATCGTAAGAACAAGACTCACTTCATTGGCATCCATAAATAGAGTCATGAAGAAAATAAATACATTACAGGCTAATCATAGTGTTATTGGTATATTTCTTTTTTTTAATTTTTCTGTTTGTTTTTTTTTTTTGCAATTCTTGGTTTCAGTCGAATTGTTCTTTCAAATTTTAACGATGTCTTCCTCTCTTTCTTCAATCGCTCATGAATGCATTTGCAAATGGTGTAAAATAATGCTTTTTAGTAAATGACAGAATTCCTTAAGACATTAATGACTGAAACGTTTGAAAGCGTTTCGTTCATACTTCTTCAATGAAGCTCTCAAAATCCTCGATCATAAAAACAGAATGAAAGTGTGAAATGGTGCAAACTTTGGGCACATGTCGTATCTCAAAACCTCTGATAGTTCAGAGTTATATTCACTAATGGATGAATTTTCACTTGTTCCTTAACTATCATTTTACTTCCTGACAGGATCCCCTGTGCCATGGTAAAAAAACAAGCTGCTCCTTGACGAATACCACATAAGATGATTAATCAACAAAAAATGTCGCATTAAAGTTCAATAAACCTGAGCAAATTCACTCCTAAACACCCAATATTAACAGCACATTGTTTGATAAGCAGTGACACATCAAACGTGTATCTAAAAATTTTTTTTATTATCACATACATTCTCTTTGCTCATACCAAACATTCATGCGTTGCATTTACAGCATTCAAATTTGCTCACAGTTTCATGAATGAACTCACCGTTGATAAAAAGGGAATGTCATCATATGAATAGACGAATATCACCATACATTAAGATATCTGTTCAATGAAAAATCGGAACCGACTGTCCGAATTGTTCACTCGAATTGACCGAATATAAATTTCATCATTCCGACAGTCGCAATTCCGATCGACCCTGCAAATTTTCCGCTCGGAGTGCGGATATCGAAATACCGAAAAGTCAGATGGATCAGATTCCGATCGACGTGAAATTTCGCTCGGATGCCATCAACACTCGTGACATTAAGTGGATTGCTGGCACACACTGTTATCAGCCGAAGAAACGACAAAG